ATACATACATATATATATATGTGTGTCCGTTCGTCCCAGGCGGAAGTTCACAGCCATGGGGCACGGATGCCAACGGGCATCAGCACAGTAAGTGCGATAATGAATCAGATCGAGCACTTGTCATTCCAGCTGTGCAAATGCAGGGCCCGAGCAAGGGCGGAAGCGGTCTTTCGCGGGTTGCCAGCGGCCCCCCCGCGCACTCCGCCCCTCCAGACTGACGTGATTCTTGTCGGAGAAAAGGCGCAAGCCATGCCACCCCGCGCGCGAAACGGACCCAGGCTGGCCTGGGAGTCCCGAATCAAGATCGGAGCCCCCGAAGACTCTCGCGGCCATTTCCTGTGGGGGGGTGCCGCGGCTGCAGCGATTGATCGCGACCACCCTACCGTGGGCGCACGACAGCGCTGACATTAAAGCAAGGCCAAGCCACATATAACTGCTGCGAGGATGCTCGAGTCAGAACGGGGCGCGCATTCAGACGCACGAGCGAATCATTCGGAGCGTCAGCTCAAGACAGGCCTTGCCGAATTAGGTCGACTCTCTCTTGCTAGATTCTGGGGGCGCGGGGGAAGCCCCGCGGGCTCTCTCGGCTGCGCAGCGGCGCATTGGCATCTTGCGCCGCTGAAAAGGAAGTACAAGGCGTGACCAGCACCGCGGCCATTGCCAGACTTGACAGGATGCGCGATCGCAGGATGGCCTCGGCACAGGTGCGAAGGGGGCTGCTGGCCGGCCCCGCCTCGATGCCCCGCTCTCGCGAGCAGCGGCCAGCGCCCCTTGCGGCTGCGGCCGCGCAGCCTGCGCCGCTGAAAAGCTGAAAAGCTTGGGGGCAACAAAAACCACGGCTTCGTCGCCGGCCCCGGCTGGGGGCGCTCGCGCGCGACGCGCCTTCTGAGCGGGCGATCGCAGTCGAGGGCGCGGGCCAGCCGCGCCTCGCCCGACTCCCGCCGTGCGTCGTTGTGCCGCCCCGTCTTCGCGCATCTCGCCACGCTCTGGCTAGGCCGTTCGCCGGCAGCCCCTCTCCATGCGCTCGTCCAAGCTGCGCTCTCGGTGAGATCGATCGATCGAGTTTCCGCTGCGGCGGCCGAGACATGGCGCCATCTCGGAGCCCGGGGCCGCCGCCGTCCGCGCAAACATCTGGCTGTGCTCCCGCAGGAAGACGCGCCCCGAGACAGGGCCCCGACCGAAGTGCCAGACAGCCTGAGCGCGCGGTCTAGCCGTAGCAGGGCCCTCGCCGAGCCCACCGCCCCTGCGCCGTCGGCCTCATCCGTTTTGTCCTGGACCAGCAGCGGCGACAGACGCGGGAGCGATGGGAGCTCCGACGGCCGCAGGTAGTCCCCCAGCATCATTTCAACGCCCGCCGCGGTGAGACAGCGCCACTGCCGCGTCAGGTGCAGCGCGAGAGCGGCCCACGTGAGCCCAGGCAGCAACGTCCGATTCATGGGCGGGCCGAATATTCGCCGGCCTTTCAGGCGGCCGAAGGCCTGGGGGAGCTTCCTCCACCCGCTGCGGCTACAGCCCTGGAAGACGAACGTGGCCGCCGCCAACAAGCCCCTGCCGCGCCAAGCCCGGCGGCCTGCGCGGAACTCGTCATTCATCCGGCGGGCGAATCAGGGGACGCACTTGCGTGGCCACCTAGCCCGGCGGCAGCTCCTCGCGGGCCATGCGACGCGCCCTCGCCTCGGCGCTGCGGGCGTCGGCCCGCGTTGACTCGCGGCCGGGAAGCCCCTCCTCACAGCGGCTCCCCCCGGCGTCCTTGGCGGCAGCGGCGGTCGCGGCCGCGGCGTTGGCGCTGCGGAGGAGGCCCGCCGCCGCGCGGGCCCGGCCCGTCTCGGGTGCTCGCTCCAGGCAGGAGTGCGTCTGGCCTTGCTCGCCTCGCCAAGCCGTTGCAAGCCTCCCGACTCAGGGTTCGAGCCCGGCGCGGGCTCGGGCTCCAGGAGGCAGCTCTGCCCGGGCGCGCGAGCCCCGGGGGCGCCGGCAGCCCTCGCGTCAATTTAACGCCCGCGCCGGGGCGCCGGCCTGCGGCCAAATCCTCGGCGGCCGCTGGGCCCCGCTCGCTGGCTGGCGGGGCGCCGGGGCGGCCCGCAACCTCGGGCCCAGATGACTGCAGACGTAGCGATCGGCTGGTATCAGGAGAACCCTCGGACACTGGATAGCAAGTGAGTCGCGCATTTGTCGGCATCAGATTGCCGCGCAAACAATGCAGCCCTCGTCGCTGCCATTGAATTGAGGGTCCACTTATACATGAAGCGCCCGAACGAGCACGCCGCAGCCCGTCGAATCATTGGTAGCAGCTTGAAGTCGCGGGCTCGCGACCGAGAGAAGGCAAGGGCCGCGGCCGCGTTGCCCCCCCAGCTGGAGAAGCCGACCGTCTCGCCCAGCGCGCGATCGAGCCACCCGCCCCGCGGCCTCGACCGCGGCCCGGCCCTCGAGATCCAGGATGCCCTCCTGGAAGGCCCGGCGGTCTGTCCGCGAGCGGTCGGCGCGCAGCAGCTCCGCGGGCGCCCCCTTGAAGTCGTAGTCCACGCTCCGCCGCGCCACCTCCTCCTCCGAGATGCGCGGCGCCCGGGCGCCGCGCGGCCCGGCGGCCGCGTCGGCCAGCGCCTGCAGCCCAGCGGCCACCGCGGCGCGGTTTCCGCGCCCGGGCGATAGCGAGATCGCCCCGCTTTTCGGCCCGCGCGGCCCCCCTCCTCAGGGCCCCGCAGCGAGCGAGCCAGCCCGGAGCCGTCGAGGGGGGCGTCCGACTGGTAGACTCCTGGAAGCCACGCAGCGCCCCAGTCTGCGCGCAGGAAATCCATCGCGCCCCGCTCGAAGTAGTGTCTCTGGATGAAGCGGTGCACGGTGTGGGCTTCGGAAGCAGCTGACTCTCGCGGCGGATCGGGCCAAATCGTGCGAAGTGGCCAACCGCGATATCCAGCTCCAGCCCGCTCACCGACCAGCGCCGCAGCAAGGCCTGCATCGCGCCGCGCGCATTCCAGAACCTGGGCGGCATCGGGCGGGCGCAGCCCTCGCAGCCGCTGAACTGCGCGCCCAGGGCCTCGCCGCCTCTTTCGCCGCGGCGGTCTCGTGGGCCATCGAGCCCCGCGCCGCCGTGCGTGGCGCGGGGTCCCGCGGTCGATCTCGCTGCGGAAGCGCACCGCGTTGTCGCGGAACCCCTCGGGCCAGCCATGGATCAGCAAGGTGCGCCAGACCCTGTCCGCGCGCCGCTCAACGTAGCGATCGCCGTCGGTGGTCGCGAGCGCCCAGCACTCGCGACGGCGGTCTATGTGGACGGGCCACAGCAGCAGCCGTTCATGAGTCCATCCGTCGCCGTCGAACCGCGCCACAGTCGCGGGTCGACACGCTGCCGCCGCCTCTAGAAGCGCACGCTGGGCACGGCGGCGCTGGCGGGCAGCCCGGGCAGGGCGCGCGCGACGCCGGGTGGGGGGCGGAGCGCGACAGCGGCCCCGCGAACGCCACCCGCGCCGCGTTGGCCACGGCCCCGCGCGCCAGTTCCAGCAGAACGCCAGGGCCCGCCTCCGCCAAGGCCGCGCAGAGGGCCGCCACCATGCCAGGTGGCCAGGGCCCGGCGCGCTGAAGAGTGGAGCTAGGATGCCAGCAGCGGTTGCCATCTCAAAGACTGGTCACGACAGCCTGAGATATTTAAGAGCATCCACTTGGTCCCCGGAGACATTCCTTAGGTAGTTCGGCGCTGTTCGCATTCTCGTCTTTGCGGGTTTCCGTCTGGTCACGGCGGCCCCAGAAGCCCCCAAAATGGCTTCAAGACGGCCCACGAGGGCCTCGAGAGGGCTCCCCCAAAAAACCTGACAGGGTTCCAAGAATACCCAAAAGCGGTCCAAGAGGACCCCAACTGCTCAAGGGAGCCCTCGGACGGCCCTTGAGGACCCCTAGATAGCCCCCCAAGACGAACTCCGAAAGCGCCCAGACGGCCCAATAGCGCCCTCAGACAACCCAGGGAGGCCCCAAGAGCCTCCGAGGCGCCCCAAAGACGCTGTCGAGAGGTTCTAAAAAGCACCCAAGAAACAGATTCGCGCCCCCCGAGGCAGCAATCCCTCGCACATTACGCCAGCTCCCCAAGCTACAATCCATCTGAAGTTACGCCAGGCTCGCGCCCCTGAGGCCAGAAACCCTTGCACAAGATTGCAAATATGCGCCCCCGAAGCCGCACTCCGTCGTAGATTCCTACGCGCTGGCGCTCCCGAAGCTTCGTTCCTTGTACATTATTACCCACCCCGACGGAAGTTGCCCAGAAGCGCCACCCTTCTCCAGAGCAGCAGCACTGTCACGTTCTGTTTTGCGATGTGTGTCGGGGGGCGTCGTTCGCGCCCCCCCCCCGACCCCACCCCACCCCACCCAGCCCCGCTTCGCTTGGGACTCGAGGCCACGCACTTTTTGCAAATAGCTCGGGGCGCGCGCGCTCCCGAACCCTCGAGCCCGCGCACATGACACGGGCAGCGCGCTCTCGAGGCCACCATCTCGCATTCCTTATTAGAGGCGCGCGTCTAGCCAGCCAGCACGTAGCCCAAATCCAGTGCCAACTATCAGTTTAGACAGCAAGCCAACCAACCGAGTTGCCAGCCAGCCAGCCGACAAGAAAAACGACCTACCTACCAACCAAGCGCGGCCGAGCAAACACTCTGAGCGGGGGGCCGGCGGTCGCAGAGGGAGACGGTATGGGGAGGCAGAAAGGAAGGGTTACCAAGACAAAAACGGGTCCTGTGGGAAACGGGTCCTAGATCTGTGCGTCGCCCCCAAGGACCAGCTTTTCACATCTTATAGCTATTTTTTGACTGTCCCAGGGTCCTTGGAGGGCCCCCGGGAGCCTGCAACAATGAAAACGGAGAAACACCGGCATGGCAAGATGGAGAGGGAACAGGCGGGGAGGAAGAACAGAAGGTGCAGTGGAGGGACGGGCGAACTTTGGTTTCGCGTGTTACTGCCGAAGCCCCCCCCCTTCCCTGGACGCGTCTCGACATCCCATCTGGCGCCAGCATCGCCACGCCGCATTTCCCTCCGATCCTGGCCGGCTCCGACGCAGGCCTTGTCGTGAGGCTTCCTAGCTACGTGTCGCAGCCTCGGCAGGGCGCGACGTGGCATCCTCGCCAGGGGGATCGCTGCGGCAGGCTCGTGTCGTGACGACCTCGGCGTGGGCTTCTGACACAGCGTGGATCGCCCAAGGGCTTCTGACTGAAGGGGCTCAAGGAAACAACACACGTCAATGCACACAACTCCCCGGATTCCCCATGTGTCCAAATGTTTTCTTGGTGTCCCCCCCCCATTTGCCACATGTTCCAATATATGATCCCGGGCTCCGGGCCCACGGCCCCCCCCCCCAGATGGTATGGTCCCAAGATTCCTCGGGCCCCCACCCCCCAGATGGTATGGTCCCAGAGACAACGACGACGACGACGACGACGACGACGACGGCGGCGATGACTACGAACGACGACGGCGACGACGACGACGACAACGACGACGACGACAGCTGCGGCGGCGACGACGCTGGCGGCGGCGGCGACGATGACGATGACGACGATGACGACGGCAACGACGACGATGACGACGACGACGACGAGGACGACGAGGACGACGAGGACGACGAGGACGACGAGGACGACGACGACGACGACGACGACGACGACCTCTGAACCACCACAGCACCACACCACATCCACAGGGGGGGGGGAGGGGGGCACCGCAGCGCAGCACCACGCCACGCCCACAGGGGTGGGCGGGGGGGACCATCGCGCGGGGGGGGGGGCCCAATGGCATCAGCATTGGGGGGGGGGGGCCCAAGCCCTGGACCATACATTTTCCTGGGGGCCGACGACGACTCGTGTCTGTGTGTTTGCCCCCTCCTGACCGACACCGTGGACCGTTCGACCTTGGACAATCACAGCACCGCGACCGCGCGGATCTCTCGATGTCGGCCGGTCCCGGGCCACGGGCCGCTCGACCTCGAACGGCCGCGGCGGGCCGGCGGGGTCGCCGCTGCGTCGGCACGGCACGAGCCTGCCGTACCTGACGAGTTCGCTATAATGTACAGCGGTACCCGGCAGCACTCCCGGAGGGTCACAATCTTAGGGGGCCACATGCGAACCCTACCCCTACCCCCCACGACTTCTGAGGGGGAGGGTGGGATTCACTTCGTTCGAGAGCTCCCGAGCGAAGCGAACCCCACCCTCCCCCTCAGAAATCGTGGGGGGTAGGGGTAGGGTTCGCATGTGGCCCCCCAAACCTGCCGCTGCAGAACAGAACGTATTGGGAGGCTACGGTGCCCTGGGAGATTGAAAGAAATGCTTCCTAAGCGAATTACGGAAGATGAATAGCACTGCTCGCACGGGAGGTGCCTGACGTCCAGTGCTTTCTTTGGCAGGCGCGCACGGGAGGGTAGGTGGGAGGGCCTGCTGTTCGTGGGAGTGGCCAAACGTCCCTGCACAGCGACGCGCCCACCGTGACGCGTCGCACGAGTGAGCCAGAACCTGGCTTCTAAGCACCCCGAGTACTGCTCTCCAGGGCACCCTGCATTCGTCAGTGCAGTCATACTGCTACCATCGGGAACACTGGTCAAGGAGCGCAGGCGCTTCTCTGAACACGGCGAGCTTCGACCACGAACAGGTTCCCCGAGCAGGACCTGAGGAGCAGCGCGAAAATAAGAGCCCCTCCTGAACCTGTCGTGGTCCTTGTCTCACCGTCTTGACTGTAAGCGCGGGTGGGTCGCCCCCGCCGACAAACTCGAGCCGACCTCCGTCGCTGGTAATCAAGCGTGTGAGGGTTGTGCCGAATCGGGTGCGGGTACACCATGCGGACTTTGCCGCTGCCTGAATATTTCGTTAGGGTGGAGGACTCAGGGTGAAATCCATCTGGGCTTTTGCACCTCGACAATCAATCCGTCTTGTGATTCACCTTTTGCAGATCCAAGCCTCGAAAATCCATCGAGACAGCATTCCAGATTTCACCCTTTGCCCTCCACCCAGAGAACATGCTCGGGCTGCGGCCTTCGATGGAGCTCCCTATGGGGCCCTGAAGCGCGTGAGGGGTGCGCCACAACAGGTGCGGGGTGCGCCATGCGGACTGTGCCATTGGGGCCTTCGGCGGAGCTCCCTATGGGGCCACGAAACGTGTGGGGGGTGCGCCAAATCGGATGCGGGTATGGTATGCGGACTGTGCCGCTGGGGCCCTCGGCGGAGCTCCTTGTGGGGCCACGAAGCGCTGTACTAGGTGCGCTGAAACGGTGGACATGCGGAGGGCAGAGGCAGGAAGGGAGGAGGGGGGAGGAGGAGAAGGAACGCGGGGCGCTGTCTCTTCAAAACGAGGTCCCAAAACTACAGGATGGGAAAAATGTACGCACGCCCAAACCACTGCAATCTACTACGACAGGAATCAAGGCTGCTCATCACGAGGATCGAGGCCACTGGTATGGCCAGAGCAGTAGCAGTGGCATACGCCCCGCAGAACGACAGCACCGACGAGAAGGCAGAGGAATTCTAGACATCTCTCTCGGCGGACACCGAAAGATGCAAGGTCGACCTACTGCTGATCGACGCGAACGGCACCACAGGCGAGGACATCTCTGACTTCATCGGCGACGAAGGCGAGCCCATGCCGGAGAAGAGAAGAGGCAGGCTCCTCCACGCGTGCCTCCGAAAACACGACATGGTGGCGGTCAACGCAAGAGTACGCGCAAAAGGGACCAACTACACCCGCAAGAGGCAAAGACAAGCCGAGAGGATAGCCTACATAGCGGTACCAGCCAATGATAACACTACCATCGGAGAGGGCGCAGCAGCTTGCAGAGCGGGAACCACCAATGCTGGTGCTGACCAACTCCTTCAAGGGTTCAAACGAGAAGGAGTGGACCAACATCAAGCAAGTCCACAGCGCCTCTGCGAAACAGGCCAGAAAATGGCGAACCATCGAAGCAGAGTGGCGCAAGACAATCCACAGCAACCACGCCCAACACGACGGAGGACCCTGCGACAACTTCGTACACTTGGGCACGGCGCCAGACTGCAACCTACTCACGCCTTCGGAAGCGAGAACGAGATGCATGTACTTAATCGGAAACTGGAACATATACATTACCAATGGCGGGTTTTGTTTCAATCCGGGGACTTTTCTGAGGGTCGGGGACGACGTCGGGGTGGTGTGATGTATACTTCCCTCCCGTTTTCCAAGGGACGCAACAAAACATGTATACACCAAGATCCCGTATACACCAGGATCCGCGTTCTTGTGCGAATTTCAGCGCAGGGTCGGAAAAAGCGTCGGTGTACAGAACTCGTTTCCCTACTTAGGGGACGTCATCGAGACCAAGAGCTCCAAAGCAATGCATGCAACCACTGACGTCTGCATCATCCCCAAGGACATTCGCCACATCGCGCCGCAGACCAAGGGGGGCCCACACGCGCTCCCAGGGGTTCCCACGGGGGACCGGGTACCCCTCGCCCAATGAAGTCACAACGACGTCAACCTGAACCTCCACAGCGCACCCTACAGGCAACCACTGAGCGAGGCCAGAGCAGCCAGTGGAAACGACGATTGGATCGGGAGCAGGCATCCTATCCACATGGCCAGCAGAGCTCGGGGAACCCCAGCACACACGACCCATCTCATGTTACAAGGACGCAGCTACCGACACATCAGACCATGTCGGCAGCATCATCACGACCTAGACGATAGACGACGCGGACAGCATTGACATGGAGCTCATACCTCCCAGAGTAGCCACGCCCATTGCGAGGCTTACGAGGAACTCCGCTCCGCGGCAGCCGCCCGCCAAGGTCAGGATCATGGGAAGCGCGACTACAATACCATCAGCGAGGAATACAGGACCGAAATGGACACCAAGCTGAAGGAGCTCCGTGAACCCGTGAGTCACACGAACTCAACCAAGACCTCGAATATGATGAGCAGCTCAACCTGCAGTGCCTTACACACATGCCTGGACGTCACAGTATGTATCCAGCCTGTAAGGCCATCGACCCGACCGAGCGCAAGCCACCCAACTTCACTCAGCCCGAAGAAAGGAGGGCGCATGCTGTTTCCTCACGAGTCGCAAGTTGGGAATACTGCCATCTTACCTATAGCGAAGCCTGCACCCTACGACTTCACTAAGATTGACAACGTACCCAATGACAGCACAGGAACCGATTGACCTCGCACCTAGGTATACCCCGCACGCCCGCACCGTGCCGCTGATCTACGAGCCAGCCGCGCCGAAGAAGGAGCCACCTAACCTGGACGGCGGCATGTCATGGCACTACCGTACCCATGGAAGGCCTACCCTGACAAGAACACCGCGCGGGCTTACTACCACAACCCACAGACGCGCGAGACAACGTGGGAAGAACCAGAGGATTGGAAGCTAACGACAACAATGATACCTTTCGGTGCACGAACAAGGCAACGGCCGACCTAGTCATTAGCAGAGTGCCTTCCTTCGAAATCGAAGGCGACGAACCTAAATCGCCACTACCGCCAGGACCACCACCTATGAAAGCCAACGAGGTGATGGATTTGACGCCACCTGAGGAAATTCACGAGCTGCGGTTCAGCAACAAATGCAAAAGCAACAGTGACTATGGCGAGAGCGTCATCTTCGCCATCTCCCAGCTAAACCACCCAATCCTCCTTCGCCAACATGAGGTTCGGAGGAGAGCTGCTGCAGACAGCCCAAGTCGACAAGAACATCGCGAATAACCTGCTCACGGGTTAATTACGTCGACGTGGGCATGATACTAAAGAGCTAGGTGACGTATAGGACGGATCGGACAAGCTACGCGCCGCTGGCCACTGGCAACCACCGAGGCTCCAGCAACGACACCCCTGCTCCGACCGCCACCGACCCGATCGCAATGTGCAGAATCTGCGGCTCGAGAAGGCACGTGGAGGAAAACCCCCTGGGCGGCAAATGTAACATATGCACTTGCACCGGCATCATCTACTGCGACAGCAGCGAGTGGACCGACCTCTTCGACCAAGTCTCCCCACGCACCAAAGAGGTCCTCACCGCGGACGGACCGCATAACCCGAAGGCACACAACACAAGCGCATTCGCACACAAGGCGCCATCTATCAGGACACCAAGTGGAAGTGCCTTACAACGTCGAAGCGCAGCAGATGGAGCTCACCGACAAGGAGACCACCACCACAGACAACGCGCGGCCACCGAAATACAAGGTGCCGCCCATTATCATTCCCCAGAGGAGCCCTACACCCATTGTATCACCACGCAGCACGTCGCCAAGATCCACCACAGCATACGACACGTATACAGCCTCGCAGACCGCACTGGCGACACGACTGCCACCACCGCAGCAGAAGGAGGCACCGCCGGCGCATGCCAGCATCCAGGCCGAGGCTCCGACTTAAGCCATGGACACGGGCTACATACCCGTCAGCGGCATGGCGGCCAGTAGCACTAGCGATACCAAGCACCTCGACACGGAGGACGCGCCACCACGGGCCATAGAGGGCTACTTCCCCGTCACCATGTTCTTCAGGACAGCGCTGGATTGCCCCGACGGCGACGTCCAGCAGGACCGCGCGGCATACCAGGACTGGACACTGGAAGGCAACTACAAAGACATATGCCTCACCATCAAGCAGGGCAACAACATCCGCATCACATGGAGCGAGCCGCCACCCAATACGAGGGCGTGGACCCCCACCGGCTGCTGGGCCTGGGGAGAACGTGCATCGGACGACGCCACCCACCAGGCACGCGAGTGCGGCGAGGAACCATAGCTACCAATACTCCGGACAGAGGGCATCGACCCCAACCACATGACCGACTACAGGGTGTACATCTCCACCATCACCGACGCCATCGTCGACCTCCGCCTCACCATGGAGACCGACGACCTGGGCGAATTCCGCCGCATCGTGCTGGACATCGTGCACCGCGCCATCTTCCGCGAGATGACCGCGGGCCGCCGCGCCCTCCCGAAGCATCCAGCGCCGCAGCAGACACAGCATCTAGCGAGGGCACCAACGACCATCACCAGTGCCCTACCAATCCGACGTCACACGCAACCATGCCTCCACCTCTCCGCTGTCCCTCCAAAAATGAACGGAAACTGGGCCGAGAACAGTCGCGGCCGCGGCAGCAACCTCAGCCCATAGCCTGGCAACTTACGACCCCCAACCCAGGTGCTGGGAGCAGGACCCGTGGCACGGGCCAACCTCATCGCGAGGGGCGCCAACACTGAAATTAACCTCTCCCAGCGTCAACCTCTGCAGCTGCAGCCGCACACTGCAGGGCGCAGCCATCCCACATCTCTATGTTGCTCCACGACGGCCAGCTGGCTCCTGCCTCTCCCACAATGCTCACCACTACGCCACACCTCCACTGCGCAGTCATTGCCACCACAACAGCAGCAGCATCAGCTACCGCACGACGCGGCACCAGGAACCCTCCACCTAATTACGCGGTGCACACCAACGCACTCCAACTCCAACACCCCGCCTACTTCCACAACCGCAATCTTCTGTGCTGCGGGTACCTCACGAGCCTCCACCTCACGAACTGAGCACAACGTGGCGGGGATGGAAAAGGAGCCGTGCTCGGCACTTTTTGATCCGCGGGTCGAGAGCGAGCCTCTTCTGATAGAAGCTAAGCGGGCCACGCGCAGCTTTAATTAGCAGAGGGGGGGCAAAAGAAGGCGGGGCCTCAGACCCGTGCTCGGCGCCGGCCTCCAGGGGAAGCCACAGCTTCCCCTGCAGGCCGTGGACGAGACGGCGGCCCGCACCCGAGAGCCTGGCCGAGGGGGCCACCACTCCAACACCTCGGCTGGTGGTGGCTCCGCTCGGGCCATCCCCGCTCCCGCTCCTCGCCTACCCTCTCGACTCCCGCCTCTCACGCTCTACCTCCTCCTCCTCCTCGCGCAGCCGCTGTCGCCGCGCCCGGAAGACCCGGCTTCGTGCCCGCGCCCTCTGCATGCCCCCCCCCCCCACCCTGCCCACACGGGCCGCTCCTGCCGCGCGCCGCCGCGTCCTGCGCACTCTGTGCGTCGGCGGCTGGGCGGAGTCTCTGCGACGGCGACGGGAGCGACACGGGGCATGCGTGGGGCGACTTGACCCACCGTGCACGAGGCCGCGTCCCACGCACCCTGCCCCCCCGCGCGTTTTTGAAGGGGCCCTGGGACACACAAATGATACCAGGATCCCCAGTATTTTCCCAGATTTTCTGGGCTTTTGTCTCCCCCCCCACTTCCCATATTTTCCCATATTTCCCTGGGAGTCGACGATGAATTGTGTCTGTGTGTGTCTTTCTCTCCTGAGTTTTGACCTCTGGACCTCGGGATGACAGGAGGACGGGCCCCCGCTCGAGGCGAGGTGCGCCGAGGTGGGCCTCTCTCTCCCCCTGGGGAGCGCGGGGCCCACGCGCGGCCCACCTCTGCACCCGCACAGCGCCGGAGCTCAGCCATACCCCTGCTTCCTCCGTCCTCCCCAGGGGCTCGAGGCTCCGTCCTCCCTTTTCTTGCTTTTTGAGCTCTTTCTTGTTACCTCTTTAGGGGACCACATGCGAACCCTACCCCTGCCCCCCACGATTTCTGAGGGGGAGGGTGGGGTTCACTTCATTCGGGAGCTCCCGAGCGAAGTGAACCCGCCCCCCCCTCAGAAATCGTGGGGGGCAGGGGTAGGGTTCGCATGTGGTCCCCTACTCTTGGCTTTTGTTTCCCTCCCGCCTGCTCACCAGCGGGAGGGGTTGAGGGCGCTGCCCTTCACCGGGAGAGCCGTCCGCATCACCGAGTCACCGAGGAGGAGGAAGGAGGATGCTGGGGTCATGCTCCTCTCTTCGGGGATCTGCTGACCCGGGTCAATACAGACCCGGGTCAGCAGGAAACCAAAAAGCTGCAATGGGGTCAGCCAACATGCGCGGCCGCCTCGCGGCCAAGAGCGGCTCGCTAACCCGGGTCAGACAGAGGGGGTCATCACCGAGTCACCGATGCCAGGCGGGGATGTATCCACATCCACCGCCTGGGAACCGACGTCCTGGTGCCCCAGCGGGCGGTGGATATATGGATACATTTCGGCCGCGGGGGCCCGAAGATGTCCATATCCAACGCCTGCCGAGGCTCCGAACACTGACCCTCCAGGCGGAGGTCATGTACTCCAGATTTCGTAATAAAAGGGAGGGGGTCACAACCCTCCCAGACGAACAGTTTTAGACCCCCCAGACTATCCATCAAAGGGCGGCCCTTTGCCCAGACCCCCTCGAACCCTCCAAGACAGCTCAAATTAGACCCCCCCCCGAATGTGACCCCCCCCACTTTGTTATGGAATCCGGAGTGTAAATTTCCGCCTCGGAGCCGAGGAGAAGAAGGAGGATGCTGGGGTCACGTTCCTATCTACTCTGATGTGCGCCGCCGGCGCGCGTAACTTCGCCCTGCGGCGCTGCCACGGGAGCCGCGCCTCACGGCGGCGGAACCATCGAGCCCGGCAGCGCTCCTGAGTACCG